ATCGACTAAATAATTTAAACTGAGTCATTCTGAACTGAATCGTTCTGAAAATTCTGAACAGATCATTGAATTGAATCACAATGAACAGAATCACAGTTCAGAATGGTCTGGAGAAACCAGACATGACCATTTTTATGTCTCTCTCAGCTCAGCATCCTGACATACTTCTACCCCTCGAAATCCATCCGCGTGTTCAAGAACTACAAAGGGCGGGCCGGTCTTACTGTCGACATCACTAAAGGCCAAGCAGATTTGCAGCTATACGGTCTAACCAACACAGACACCAGAGTGTACGAGTGTACAGTACAGAGTGTAGATGACGACGGGGACAGTCCATCGGACACCACCAACCTCATTGTGCTAGGTACGGCAATCAAACAGAGTATAAAACAAGTCTGTGTGTCTGACAATATTTTCTATTTCTGATCACAACAGGCGATCAGATTTGGTTTTTGAGCATGGCTAATCTGATCACATTTTCTGATTCTAATCTGATGTTTTTTTGGTTGTCTATACTTTTTTTTCTGATTCTAATCAGAACAGAGCTAATCTGATCATGTTTTCTGGGTCTGATCAATGTCAAAGCTTTGGTACTTGTGCTGTTGAAGTTAGCTCACAGAATGTTCCTTGTGCTTGCCAGTGGCCCCATCAATCCCCAAGTGCACAGTACAAGGGAAGACTGAATACTTTCAAGACATCACCTTCAATTGCTCCTCTGAGGAGGGAACACCGACCCCCACATACAAATGGCAGATCTATGATGTCAATAACATGGCGCGACCCAACCCACCCAAAGCCACCGACCGTGAGTGTTTATTTATGAAATGTTTATATATATAGTTTTCTGAATCACCTGTGTGATTGACTGTATGTCCTCAGTGAATGGTGTCCTGTCACTCTACAACATCTCCAAAGATGCCTCCGGATACTATGTCTGCACCTCCAGTAATGAGATCCGATCAGCCAAGTGCAATCTCACCGTTGCAGTCATGCCACGTAAGAAACATACATATTCCTTGTTACACAGCTGAATTCAAGATGGGGTGAAACACTGCAACATTATTTGAGAGGTACCTGAATGATATAGTTCTTTCTCGCTGTGTGCAGCATCAATGAACATGGCCTCTACAAGTGTAATGATCGGTGCTGCAGCTGGAGTTCTTCTTCTCTTTGTGATTTTCATCATCATCTGCTGCTATTGCAGGAGGAGGAAGGATAAGAATGAGGAGTATGCCATGGGGTACGTGGAGCAAACTAAGCCCAGACTATGACACACACACAGACCTCTGCCTTGATCCTATGGAATAAAAATAATGTGATTCAGTTATAAGGTCTCTGTTTTAGTTTCTCAAAAGCTGTGATTGGCTGGTTTCAGTTCCTTAAGGACTTTAAGTACGACTTTCAGTAGTTACTTTAAGTAAAGTCTTCAATTGTAAAAGTTGTGTTCCTCTCAAATGAGCTCGTTTAATACCTCAAGAACCTGGTTAGGTTTAGGTCATTGAGGTCTAGATTTGCTGCTTTGGTTCCTTGAGAACTTTAGTATGTTTTTTTTCTCTTTCCCATATCTAGAGGATGCTCCGTATATTTGACTTGCGTCATGTCTTCTCTCAAGTTATTCTTTTAGCTTTTGTAATTCCACAAGTACATCACTAGCTCACTTGTTAAGCAGAAGTGTAACACGTTTCATGTTCCTATAAACAGAGCTCCCGAAGGAGAGGAGTTCACCGACCACGATCCTGATGAGAAAGATAAACCTGTTGACTACAAGGAAGAGCGTACAGTGAAGAGTGCAGACAGACAAGATCCACCAGATGACCGCAGTGAGCGCAGCTACGACCGACGAAGTGACTACAATGACCGAAGAGATCGCCGAGACAACTATGATGATCGACGGGACCGGTACGATGATCGGAATGATGATCGACGGGATCAGAACGATGATCGGCGTGACCGGTATGATGATCGTCGTGATCGGTACGATGATCGACGTGATCGGTACGATGATCGACGGGACCGATACGATGATCGACGGGACCGATACGATGATCGACGGGACCAGTACGATGATCGGCGGGATCGGTATGATGACCGCAGTGACCGATACAATGACAGACATGACCGGTACGATGATCGCAGGGATCGCAATGATGACCGGTACAACAGTGATAACTACTCTGAGCCATACGACAGTCGCAGCAGACCTCCAAGCCTACCTCCCAATAAACCTAAAGATCCCAAAAACTGAGATCTACTGATTCAAATTAGAAAAAAAAAAAAATCAACGTGTACAGCTTTTTACAAACAAGCTGTTTGTAGAACACAAGTTATTTCCAGGGAATTAATTCTCAGCAGAGAACAGCGACTTCAAAGCAGAGGATGTTTTAAAATATAGGAAAGACTGAAGCTGGATGGTTAACAACATACTATTTCACTTTGGATAATGTACAAATAATAATAAAAAAAAGTATATCCAACGTGTAAGTATTTTTAAGATCCTCTTACTGGAGGGACTCAAACATCAAGTTCTATTAGTTATACTTATTAACTAAAATGTCCATGAAAAAATATTTTTCTCCTTCGAAACTCATGTGTTCAAATTAAACTTCCGATATTGAACAGAAAAGAAGAGACAGTTACTGACCGATGGTAAGAACAAAGGTTACTGCAGAAGTAGGAAGTGAATAAAGATTAGTAGAGGATTCTTACTTTTTTCTTTCATTATTATGATTCTTTATTTCGCTCTTTCACTTTTTTTTTCTTTTGAAATGTGGGTTTCTTATAAGAATTTTCTTTCTATCTAAATATTCATGCATACATTGATTGTAGGTTCCAGTTTTACACTGAACTGCAGTTGTTGGGCAATGTTTGAAAGTGTTGATGTTAGAAAATCATTCACCTGACAACACTCAGGTTTCATTTTACTGTGTAGAACACACAAGCATGAGCATTACAATCTTTTAAACTGAATTTCTTGAATTTCTTAAACATATTCCAATTTCAGTATGGATCATTTTACAATACTTTTATTATTAGAGGATTTTTATGTATTGTATTTTATTAAAAAGGTCAATTTTGTTATAAGAGAAGAATAAAATGAGTGAGTTCAGCTAAAAACTGCTTCTCTGTTTTATTTTGTGAAATTGGTTCTTTTGCTATTTTACACATTTTTTGTGGGGCTTATTGTAAACCCCCTAGAGAAAAAACATATGGCTTCTTGTCCTCTCAAGAACTGGTACGAACAGATATGAAAGAAATCAGGAGCACCTTTTAAGGGTATTGCCAGGCTCTTACTGAAGGCTTCCTAGGACCCACCAGAGATAAATTTTGCCATTGTCATCTCGTGGGGTATGGTAGAACTGTTGCTTTGCCTGAGAAAAGAAATATGATGCAAACAAAATGACAGTGTCAGAAATTTTTATTAAAAATCAGGACATATATAGTTGATCTTTTTTCATATTTTGTCTTCAGTGACCATGACTATGACAGAAGTATGCCAATTATTAATTGATTAAGGTGGAAATAGTAATGTTTACGCAACATAACTGAAACAGCACGAATCCAAAGCGTATTCTGCCATAATTTATACACTTTTGCCAGTTTAACATAAAACTTGATTTATTATGCTCCTTACAAGCAGAATTTCTACAGCACCTTTGGTAAAAGCGTTGAAATTTGAGTTGAAGGAAAAGCAAAGAGGAAAGTTTATTTGTTTGGCACATTTTGTGCACAGGGTTATGTCAAAGTGCTTTACATGGGATTAATAAAATGAGCAAAGGATATATTAAAAAAGAACACAATACAGCATGGCCAGCTAGAACAGGTAAGACAAGTAATATAAAAGCACACTGATTAAAAATGGAAGTTAAGAACTCGAGAAAAATGGTAAAATGCAGAGATAAGATTGTTCGGACGTTGGTGCTCAGTTGACAAAAAGAGAACTAAAGAGTCGTTTCTATCTCTTGGTTTTAAATGTGACTAATTCGGTGTTAGCACCAAAGCATCTGTTTCTAGCAAAGAAAAAGTTATATTATATTCTTGGATGCTGAATATTGTGGAGGGCTACCAGTTCAATAACTTCTGATATAACACATTAGCTTCATTTAACTTGTTATAATTATATAAATGTAATTATACATACATACTTTATTTCTACCAATATATGCGAATTTTAAATTAGTCATGGTGTCATAACATTACTGTTTGCACAAACCTACTACTAGCTGTACTTTCCACTTGTAATTAGCAGCTGCCTGACACGTACCATCAGGATCGGAGTGGAACCCATTGGAGTGCAGGTTGACTCGATATACAGTGTATACTTATGAATGGTTGCAGTTCTGCACTGAGAATGGCGAGTGTCGGTGATGAACTGTTATATGCAGTCAATGGTGAGAAATTACAGTAGGTCTGGTGGTCACGTGAAGCTCTCATTAGTTCCAAACGCTACCGGTTTCCATTGGTCTTCAATGTGGCAGACTCGTCGCTTTGCGCTAAACGTTTAATTACTCTGCTAATCATAAACTCTACATAAATAATGATTCTTAGATTGCATAAAGATTTAATATATATCGATTATATTAGATTTAAGGTAGCAAACTATCCCTTAAAACACGGTCGGTCCCATATTTTGGAGCTTCCCGGCTCGTATCGAACCGATTCCAAACAAATCTCGTTTCATGCACCAAATTGATGATTGGAACTCTTGAGATCCAACCAATCAGATGCAGAGGTGGGCGGAGCTTTAGTCCCAAAGAGGAAGTGATGAAAACAAACATGATTTTTCACGATCAACTTTGAACAGTCTTGTTCCGAATTTTTCTTCAGTGTTAAAAGTCCCCCCTCTCAATTTTTTTAAATATATCTGTTCATGAAATGGCAAAAAATGTAAATTTGAAGCACTGCAAAATATATTTTTTTACTTTAAGATAAGTAAATCTTACAACTAAGCACTCAACAGTGAGTCACAAGTCAATGTATAAGACTTCTTTAATGAAATCAGTGCTTTCCTGTGGCTCAGTTGCTAAAGCATTGCATTGACAATGTAAAGGTCTTGGGTTCATATCCCAGGGAAAGCAAGCACTGACAAATGTGTTCATTCATTCAAATGTAAGTCGCTTTGGATAAAACTGCCAAATGCATAAAGTTAATGTCATCAAACCAACTCTCTGTAACCCAATAAACCTTGAGGTTTTAGACTAACAGCAGCAGTAGTCTTTTAACTGTTCTACAGTCTTCAAGCCTCTCCATCAGGTTTGATATAGACCAAGGGCAGCTTTAAACAAAGTAATAAACCTTAATACATTTCTAGTTTCAAGTCTTCCGAATGTTGACCAATGACAAGCTCAACATGTCTAACATCAATAGTGACTGGGAAGCCTAATAAAGAAACTCACCCAGATACAGGATATACATCTTTATTTTAGACATACATTAAAAACAGACAAACAACATAAAAACATTTTTAAAATCACTGTGTGGGGCAGCCGTTCCGAGCTCCATCAACGTCAGCACTAGTTTGATCGGCATCTGAGATTTGCCACCAATCATTGTTTGGTTTAATTTCAGGGTCTGAAACAAGAAGAAGCACAATGTTAACCACTTTTTAAAACACTAGAATCCTCTTGAACTGCTCTAATGTTAAATATTTGCTGGGAGAGAGCCATGTGCCAGAGATGTGTCTCCTTTGTGGAGCTAAGAGTATGGTTATAAAGGCTCATTGACTAACCGCAATAGACAGTAAAAGACATAATACATCCATGAGTTTGTACTATTGATATTTGACCAATTAGAGAAGGATGAAAAATTAAGCAGAGTGAGAAGCACCACCCACTTCCATTTAACAGCCCAAAATGTGTGTGGTTTTTTTTTTTTAACGCCACAATAACTATATGTAATTGGGCATTAAAAAAACAATACAGAGTTAAATACATTTCAAAAGCATGTGATCAGAATATCTGCAGAAGTGATTGAAAGCACAGTGAAATAGACACAAGGACAGATTTTGTCGTTAATAACCCAGGGTGTGCTCAAACTGCAGTGAAGGAGTCCCCACACACTGAGTGCAGCAGAGACAGATTACCATTGGGTTCAGACTTTGGCTCTGGAGACTCTTCAGTAGTTTCAGAGGTGGAGCCATAGATCTCTAAAGGAATACACAAGGCTCTGATCATACTCATAACATTACATTTTAGAGGAGCCCAGTTCATCGTTGTCCTGCCCTCCATTAACCCAACATTTCTGGGATATCCATTTTGAAACCCTGAGTACGTAATACCTGAGCTAAAAAGAAAGGATTCGCCAACTTTTGAAAGATGATGAATCCTCTCAAGCTAGTGCTCACACAAATAGAAGAGCACCGTATCTGAAAAGCAAATCTGGACAATTAAAGGCCTAGGTGTAATGTTGTCAGTACCCAACCCTCCTCCAGAACCGGATTTCATACTAAAACTGGACACAGGTGTTACCTGTAGAGGTTCCAAGGCTGGAGTTGTCGAAGAACTGCGTAGGGCACTTCAGAGCACTGCTAGAGCGCAAGTCGAAGATGCTACTCTTTGGAGAGTCCAGCTGTATCATTTTCTTCTTTGGAGAGTCCATCTGCATCAATTTCTTCTTGGGAGAGAGGACATCACTGTCACAGAGCTGAACCGCACGCTTGGTCGGCGTGCAGGGTGCCTCACGATGGCCCTCTTTCATCTTGTATGCCCGGCGCCTCCACTTGTTTATCTCCTCCTGCTGCTTGCTCACCAGGCTGCAGATGAAACGAGAGAGAGAGAGAGATTACTCCAGCAGGTTTTACTCCAACGATGGTCAGCAACAAAACCTTTCATTTGAAAAGGAGGATTACCTCTCAAACTGAGCATTCTTTTTCTGCAAATCCTCAATCTTCTTCTCAGTCAGAGAGGTCACGGCTTTGCTGCTGGAGCCCAGAATCATCTCAAACTCATGGGCACCACTGACTGGAGATGTTAAAAAATATATTATCATCAAGACCTGCTTCTAAACCACCCTCTCCATGCACTCATCAATTCTTACAGGACTGCTCGCCATGCATCTGCCTCAATGTCTCCTTCAGCTTCCGGATTACATCTGCTCGATACTCAAGAACGGAGGTCATCTGAGCAGTCCTGGAACAGCAAAGCAGGTAAAGATCAGTCAGAGCTTTTCCAGGAGGAACTGGTCAGAGGAACTATACTTACTCCTTGTCATGTCGACTGGTGGCTGCAATGAGCTCCAGCTCCATCTTCACCAGTTTGTCTTTTAAAGATGCCAGCTCAGCCGCAGCTGGGGTCAGTCCCTGCTCATCCTGTGTCTGAACCAGGAAACACATAAGGCCACACATGAAGGCCACATGTACGACAACAAATACTGAAACACAGATCTAAGTGAGGGACATCAAATGTGCAGGTTTAAACGTTTTAGCATCGGAGGAGTCCCTCTAAATGTGAACGCAACAGCTCAATGCTCTATACGAGGCCTGTGCAATATGGACCAAATAATCAGATTGTGATTTTTCAAACGATTATTGCAAAAACAGTTTTTTTTTTCTTCTTTTCCCCAACAAGCCGTATCCATACATACGTTCTAAATGTTTTCAAATACAGTAATGCATTTTCAGACAAAGAAAATGAACATTAAATATTAAAATCATGCGCACAAGAACGTGATCTGAATTAAAATTCATAAATTAACAGATTAAATTGCAGCCTTATGCGGTTTAGAAATATTTTTTTTTGAGATTGTGATAAACTGCACAGCCCTGCTCCATACCTTTAGGCTGAATCACAAATTTAAAATAAAATATAAATCACTGTAAAAATATATTCTATACAAGCTATCTAAACATGTGAACAATACCCGAGGCTTAACAAGTGTGAATAGATTAAAAAAACTGAACTTTGTCAAACATTTTTCTTCCTGAAGCATCATTAGTTATTATGTTATTTTAATTATTAAAGAAGTTAGTCTCACATTGTGAAATGTACTGTTATATGGCTGACAATGGCACATTTTTTTGTGATTTTAATTACATCTTCCAACATATTTGTTACATGAAAACAATTATTTTTTAATAATTGTAAAACCTTTGAAAATGACAAAAAATACTTTATTATGGCTTCTATGTCAGTCAACTTTGTTAAGGAACCAAAGGTGCAGCGTGGTGCATGCTGTGAACGCTCAAGACCTGTGCAACATTAAGACCTAGAACAGATCATTTAATTAAACTGAAGACTTTTTAAGGCCTAAAATTTGAGCTTTTTAATGTTACATTTTTTTAAGAAACAGAAATTTTTAAATAAAAAATTATTGTATGAGACATGGTAGCCGGCATGGTAACTGGAGTAAAACGCCGTCAGAGAATGTGCGGCAATAAGATCTGACTCCTCTGCTGCACTGGGGGGTGTTTATTGTGCTGTATGTTGCTGTAGTGACCTGCGTCTGCTTGTTCTCTAGGTTCTGCACCAGCACTTCCTTCTCCTTCAGCTGCTGCCGGAGCCTCTGAAGATCTGTTTCGTATTTTTGCTCCAACATTTCTGCCTTGACATTCAACTCCTGTATGTGCCGATCGTTCTCCTGCAAAAACAACACAAGTGTGAGTCCTCCTGTAGCCACCTAATGAAATGTCCAGTATGTTCAATTAGAGCTCTGCAAAATAATGGATTTTTGATTCTGACATCGATTTCAGGGCACAATAATAAGACAATAAGACAAATGTTCTCTGGCGTCAGCACAAATTCAGTTCTGCTCAGAGATCAGTGTGTTGCAGCTTGTTTTGTCCTTCACAAAATTAAAAAGGGTTGTGTTTGTTGGAAAGGCTAATCTTTCAATTTACAACTTCAGCAGTCATCATTCTGTCTTTATAACTCGCAATTAAGAGTAGAGTAGAGTTGAGAAATGCAATTTTACATAATTGCTAGTGAAAATTATACTAAGAATCACAAGTTTGGTCTGGCTCAGTGGTATTGCGGACGGTGTTTCGGACACAAAAGTGGAAACCAAGTTTGCATCACAGAATTCTAAAGGGTCTTTTTCACACGATTGAGAGATGAAAAAACTGTAATGCTCTTGTTTTATTTTAACTTCAACGAGCTTCCATAATATTCTGTCCATGTTAGATCACACAGACAACGTTCCTCTTGTGAAATGTGTTTTTGTACGCATGCTTCACATTGCAGCTCTTTGCGATTTGCATATTCAGTCATTGCAGACTGTGATTGGATATATTACACAGCCCTATTATAAACTTAATATAATATACTTTCGACTACATGATGAACACAGCAAAACAACCCTAAAGCATGTTTTACCTGCAACTTTTGGAGGGCATTACGTAGCTGCAGGCTGAGCGTGAGCTTCTCCTGCAGCAGCTCTGTCTCACTCTTGGGAAGTGTCTTGAGTCGAGCTTCCAGCAGTGTCTGTGTTTCTCTGCTCAGCTCCGTTAGACTCTGCTCAGACGCAGAGGCGCTGGATTGCAGCGGTACAAGCTCGGCTTCAAAGTCCCTCAGCACAGCCTGCACACAACACAGTCAGATGGAGCCTCTGTAAACACAGGCACAGAAAAGACGAGTGAACTCACGGCATAGATCTGGCTGAAGCACTGCTTGGCGGCAAAGCGTCGCAGGGTTTCAGCTCTATGCAGCTGAAATATTGAGTCCAATCGAGGATTCTCCACAACAGCTCTGAAAGCCTCCAGGGATTGTACTCTGTGCTCTCGCTCCTCTGAGAGCAGCAGAGAAAACCTGAAGATGCCATCCTCCAGGAGAGTCAGCAGCCGCTCCAGATTCTGAGAGACATGTTACAGTTAGCATCAGGATGAAACTGAGCTCGTCACTCCACCCTTCTGAATCTATACCCGCAGGTGCTGCTCTCTGCTTTCCAAAAACTGCCTCCGCCGCTCACTCCAGCCCTGCTCCGAATCCTCCTGCAGTTGTGGGAAAAGGCTGGAGGCCAGCAGCTCCTGCAGCCGAGAATGCAGGAAGCGGTCCTCATCACGCTTGATTGCCTTCTCAAAATAAGCCTTGAAGCTCCTCGCTAGTCTCTGGTACCATTCCTGTGAAAAGGATTGGCATCGTTAACA